AAAAAAAAAAAAAAAAAATTAAGTATTAGCTGGATGTGGTGGTGGTGGTAGTCTTAGCTACTTGGGGAGGCTGAGCAAAGAGGACTGCTTGAGCCCAGAGTCCAAGGCTGCAGTGAGCTATGATCATGCCATAGCACTCAGCCTGGGCAACATAGCAAGACCTTGTCTTAAAAAAAAAGAAAGAGAGAAAAGAAAAGAAAAAAAGAAGCACTTATAATACTGTATCACAGTTGTTTTTTTTGTTTGTTTGTTTGTTTTTTTGAGTTGGAGTCTCACTCTGTCACCCAGACTGGAGTGCAGTGGCTGCTTCCGGCCACCGCAGCCTCGACCTGCTGGGCTCAGGTGATCCTTCCGCCTCAGCCTTTCAAGTAGCTGGAATTACAGGCATGTGCTACCACGCCCGGCTGATTTTGTGATTTATTGTAGAGATGGGGTCTTGCTGCCCAGGCGGGTCTCGAACCTGTGGGCTCAGGCAATCCACTCACCTCAGCCTCCCAAAGGCACGGGATTACAGGCTGAGCCACCGAGTCCAGCCACAGTTGTTTTAATAATTTGCTAATTCAATATAATTGTCTACTTTCAAGTATCCACACAACCTGTTGAGTTGGATGCTTACCTAGCGTCCAGCATATCAGTTACCCTAAAACTGTTTATGTTATCTGTGCTTTTAATAAAACTATATAATGATAAAAAAATAAAACATGAGAGTGAAAGAGAAAGTTACTGTTTCTATAAAAATTAGGTTGATGCCAGGTGCAGTGGCTCACATCTATAATCCCAGCATTTTGGGAGGTTGAGGTAAGAGGACTGCCTGAGCCCACGGGTTTGAGACCAGCCTGGGCAACTTGGTGAGACCTCATTTCTACCATAAATCAAAAAAATTAGTCGGGCATGGTGGCTTGTACCTGTAGTTCCAGTTACTTGGAAGGCTGAGGCGGAAGGATCACCTGAGCCCAGTAAGTCGAGGCTGCGGTGGCTGTCAACGTGTCACTGCACTCCAGCCTGGGCAACAGAGTGATTCCAACGCAAAACAAAAAAAAAAAAAAAAATAGGTTGACTAACTCTGATTGAAGAAAAAAAGTAAACACCTAGAAGGATTCTCGTCTCAGAATGTTCTGAACATCTTTAAGTTCTCTTTCCACTTAAAAGAAACTGCAACTATAAACCTAAGACTACACATTACAGATGTGCTCTACATAAGAAAGTCACACAATTCTCATCAGCAGACTTACACTAAAACAAAATTAAACAAAACAACTCTTGGCCCTACATCACAAGGTTGGCACGTGATGTGTTTCTTAATATACATATATTTTGTGTTGGAGTCTCATTCTGTCACCTAGGCTGGAGTGCAATGACACACTCACAGCCACCCCAGCGTCAACCTGCTGGGCTCTGGTAATTCTTCTTCCTCAGCCTTCCAAGTAGCTGGAACTACAGGCATGAGCTACCATGCCCAGCTAATTTTTGATTTATTGTAGAGACAAGGTCTCGCCAAGTTCCCTGGGCTGGTCTTGAACCCGCGGGCTCAGGCAATTCTCTGGCCTCAGTCTCCCAAAGTGCTGGGATTACAGACTGAGCCACCAAGCCCGACCTGTTTCTTAATATTTTAAGAGAAAATAAAATGTTAAAACACGTATCATTTTCTATGATTCTATTAATAGTTGACTTTTTCTTTTCTTTTTTTTTTTTTGAGTCAGAGTTTCACTCTATTGCCCAGGCTGGAGTGCAGTGACACGCTCATGGCCACCCCAGAGTCCACCTGCTGGGCTCAGATGATCCTTCCACCTCAGCCTTCCAAGTAGCCAGAACTACAGGTGCGCGCTACCACACCCAGCTAATTTTTTGATATATTGTAGAGACAAGCAATTCTCTCGCTTCGGCCTCCCAAAGTGCTGTCATTACAGGCTTGAGCCACAGCACCTGGCCTTTTTCAATTATTGATCAACTCCTGGTTTGACAGCATTGAATAAAAATATTTCTACTAGCCGGGCTCGGTGGCTTAGCCTGTATGTAATCCCAGCGCTTTGGGAGGCTGAGGTGAGTAGATTGCCTGAGCCCGCCTGTTCGAGACCCGCCTGGGCAACTTGGCAAGACCTCATCTCTACAATAAGTCAAAAATTAGCCGGGCATGGTAGCGAAGCACCTGTAGTTCCAGCTACTTGGAAGGCTGAGGCAGAAGGGATCACCGGAGCCCAGCAGGTAGAGGCTACGGTGGCCGGAAGCCGCCACTGCACTCCAGTCTGGGTGACAGAGTGAGACTCCAACTCAAAAATAAATAAATAAATAAATTAAAAATTAAAAAATATTTCTACTATTTCTATTAATGTCAGACTCAGGCAAATAAATACAAAATATTTGCTAAAGCTTTTATCAAAGATGCAAGGCTTTGCCTCAAACAGTATTTAGTCTTAAAGAAGGAATTAAAATTACTATTCTCTTCTATATTTCATTTTGTTTATACTTAAGTGTTCTGCTCTTCAATAAGGTACACAAACTGCAGTAAGGGTTAGCAGCATTTTAGAATTTTGGTTTTAAAACATCTTTCCTGTCTTTTTTTTTTTTTTTTTTTTTTTAATTGGAGTCTCACTCTGGCCCCCAGACTGGAATGGAGGGGCTACTGGCGGCCACCACAGCCTCCACCTGGTGGGCTCCGGCGATCCTTCCGCCCCAGCCTTCC